CAAGCCTACGCGGTGGTTTAAAGAGCTAAAAATGTAAGTCTTAAAAAAATAGCGTCTGATGGTTTACAGTGCAGCTCAGAACAGATGCTGGAGCTTTTTTGTGAATAAAATCTTTTTCAGGAGTTATTCAGTGTTTGAGCTAATGCTTCTGTGGAAGATATTAGTTCAAGAATTTATTAAAGCAAAAAGTAAATCACGTGAATTCAGCCTTAATGTAACTTTTGGATCTGATCTAGTCTATTATTTTCATGTCCATTGGTATTTCTAGGCATTTATTTATCTGCTTTTTTAAGGGGCCTCAACTCTACCTCTGCTTTCACAGCTGGAAATAATTGTGGGAATCATCTGAAGGGTGAAAATGCCATATATATGTGTAATAATATAAATATATGGTGTCTCACGGGAATTTTTATATTCAGACTCCATATGTAGAGGGCGATTTCTGGTATGAGGAACATCAGATAGAAAATAAATGCAATTCCCTGATGCCATATAAACATGAGGGTTTGAGGTTTGCATGAACTCCTCTCTCCCGTGGAAGCCATGGGAGCCCTGTTGTAGCAAAAGCTCTGACAGCCACTGAATCAACCTGACACTGTTAAGATCTACTTGGAATTGGTTAAAAACACTAGTGGCTGTCTGCAGCTCTCTTAGTACGTGTTTCCACTGTTACTACCGTTAAGGGACTTTTGTGGATAAAAAAACCCAACTCTGTAGATAGAATAAAAAATAAATAACATTGGAAGAAAACATATCTGGTTGGACAAGTTCCCCGAAATGACTCGCACGCTTCTGGCATGCTCTGGTTTGGTTGTATCTCCTCAATATGATCAACTTTTGAACAGTGTATTCTCTTCTTCCTGAATTTACTTGCCTTCCAAGGAAATTAAATGAGAGAATTGTGAGTATGTGACCACTTGGCTTTGGCTCTTCAAGACTGAAGTACCTGTATGGTAGTACTTGATTGCTCTAAGAGCATCTTTTCATCTGGAAACATTAAACTTCTGTCTGGGAGGATATTTGAAGTAATTTTTCTACAGAGGCATTTTCCTTGTCAAGTGGGATATTGAAATTGCTTCACAGTTCTGTTTGAAGAGTTAAAATTCCTCTCCCATGCAGGATCCCCCCTTTTTCCTTTCTTGATGAAAATCCACATGTACCTAAGATTAGTCATGGACAAAGACTGTTGAGAGTTACTCAGGCACGACAAGATAAGATAGAGAAATGTTTTTGTGCTGCTTGTGCAGCAATAGCTAATTCAGCAAATGCACTGGGAAAGCACCTGACAAATCAGTGGGTGTATTAAACTTGAGTCAAGCTGAGCTAAAACATCCCCTGAATCCAAATCTCCTTTGTTTTGGAGCAAGGTAATGGGGAAACACGGAAAGGGATTGTGCATTCTCAGTTGATCATGTAACAGCAGATGGTTAAAAGGAGCCTCTCGGATGCTCTTAAGGCAGCATATTCCTGTTAAGTGATTATTTGGATTATTAATGTCCCACTGTAGCACCTAGTGATGATCTGAAAGCAGCTTTATGGGCTGAGACTTTTGTGGTGATGAGCACTAGAGACTCGTGGAATTAATAATGTTTTAATTGTTATTGCCTGAACATTGATTAAGTTTTGTGTAAGGACTTTTAAGGGATTCTGTCATTGAGCTTGACTGGTTTGTTGGTATGAGCCTGAATCTCAGGGCGAAACTCCGGGGCTAAACTGCTCTGTTCCTGTCAGCCCTTGGTGTGGTGAATCCTTTGTGCCTCAGTTTCCTTTTTTTTTTTTTCCCTTTTTGTATGAAACTTACCTGTCCTTTTGTAAATGTTTGCTTTGAAAGGGTGTGGGCAGAGATCACACTATCTTAGTTGTATTGTTTGCATCTAATACTGCACAGTGACTGCACAGGACTGGGTCAGTGGCCTCCAGCCAGGCGGAGGTTTGCAAAGGGTGTGAGAGGATTCACTGAGTGGGAACTGGGTGCCCTGTGGTGCTGGCTCTGCTTGGAAATCCCAGCTGAAATCATTTGCAGCTTAATCGCACATGGAAGGAGTCTTCAGTTTCCCAGGGGAGTTTTATTCATTCATGTTTGTTTCTAGTAGAGTTCATATTACAGTGGGGAAACCACAATTCCTGACCTCTGAGTTGAATACATGTTTTAAAAATAGAGATGGGACAGAGGAAAGAAGAATAAATAGATTTCACTCTAAGGGCTTGTTCAAACCAAATCTACGTGCTGCAAAATATTGCATCAAACTTTGAGAAATGATTGAATCAAATTGTTTTTCAGGGGCTTGTGTTAAAAAAAAATTGTAGGTTTTTTTATGACAGACAGTTGTAGGTAATTCTGCATTTTTCATCTTCGCCTAAGCAAACAAGACTTATCTTGAAGCAGCAGCAGGTTATTTTCAGATTTACTTTAACGGAGAGCTGTTCATGATAAATGGCTTCTAGAAGACTCACAGCCCCATCATTGCAACAGAACTGAGAGAGGAGTACAGCAAAATAAATATTTACAGGGGGTGTTTATTTTGGGTGGAGGTTGGATATGTAATATTTGAGTTGTTTTAGTTGTAGTAAGCCTGACGTGAACACTGAGGAAGTATGAAATGTTATGTAAGAAGAAAAAAGATCTGTAGCTAGTTTATTCGCTGTCTATGGTAAAGAGAACAGACCACTACAAACGTTTTATTAACAGCATATAACAGGTGCTGTGTCGTGTGTGTTGAGAAGTTTGCTGAGGTTTGGGATTTTGGGGGGGGTTGTTTTTTGTTTATATAAGATGCTATTGAACAGTGAGGGATTTGAGTTATGAGTTCAGCAAAGGGCCACCAAGATGAGCTGAGGTGCTGGTGCTGTGGTGGAGGCTGAGGGACCTGGGATGGCTCATCCTGGAACAGAGCCTTGCGGGGACCAAACAGCACCTCCCTGTGCCTGGGAGGTGCTTACCAAGAAGGCAGAGGCAGACCCTTCACCAGGGCATGTGGCTGGAGGGTGAGAGGCAACAGGCATGAGTTGAAACAAGAGATTCCTGTGGGGGTATAAGGAAGAACCACCATAAAGGCAGGTGAGAGGGTTGCCCACAGAGGCTGTGCAGCCTTGGAGAGCTTCAGGACCTTACTGGGTAAAGTACTGAGGAATCTGGTCTGAGTTTATAGCAGTTCCTACTGTCAACAGGAAGCTGGATTAGAAGTCTTTCAAGTTTCTTCTGACCTCAGTTTTCCAATGATCCAGTATATTTGGCACCGTATATATTGTATATATGGTGATAGATGGCTGCTTGATTGAAACAGGGAATACTCTAAAGGGCTGATGGGAGAAATATTTTTATTGCATGATCAGTGTCGGTAAGAGGTTTGTGTCATGTACAGCAATACACTCACATGGTTTGGAACTGTGGACAATTTTTATATTAATTTCAGGAGTCCCTGTGAGACCTGACACCCCCCCAGTGTTCAAAAATGCTGCATATGAACTTGCCTTAAAAAACTCATGAAGGAAGCCACCCTGAGAGCGGCTTACAAGGGTGTTTCTCATTGAAGGTACTCCAGAGAAACTTGGTGTGTGAGGTGTAGCACTCTGAAAATACTGTCCCCATCATCCATTCAAACAAAGACACTGAAAGGTCTATGCTGGGTCCACTGGACACGCTCAAAGCCAGAGTGTCCTCCCTGCGTCTGCTGAAAAATTTAACACCGTTTTGCTTCTTTGCCTGTAAGCAGCCCAAGCTGGGTGATGATGGTACTATTCAGTTTTAATGTATTGGAGTATTAATGGAAATCTTTCAGCTGTATCAAGTGGATTTCGATCAAACTCGAGCAACAATATGAGATTCCTACTGAAAAAAAATAGTGTGGGGATTTAAACTGCAACTGAACAAAGGTTTTGTAGCCTATGGAGTGAGAGAGGGAGGGAAGAGCTGGTCTAAATTAAAGCACACATTCAGCTTTTACTGGAAAATGTGCAGCAAATCCCAGTGATTCTCTGATTTGTCTCGTAGCCCCGTGCGTACAGTGTGCACCATTCAGCTGCTCTGCCTGTCAGGCGGGTGGAAGTCTCTCGCCTTTTATTCATGTCCCATTGATGCATCTCTGCAAACCCACAGGCTGTGAGATTATATTTTGCATTTCTGTTTGAGGGGCCAGTGTTTCATCAAACTGGCTGTTGCAGATTCTGATGCAGGCAGAATTGCTCTGAATGTACTTTGTTTTGGATGCTGAGGCTTTTTAATGGAAAGAGGTATGAATGGTTACATATAAATTATTTGAAAACTACAATTTACTTGTCAGCTTTTGATTCAAAATGTTGTGATTTGATGTGCAGATAAGTTTTCTATAGGTAGGTTTTCTATAGCAGGATAGGAAAATGCCACATTTCTGAATGATATAAATCATGAATTGCCTTCAGATCTGTGGATTTCTGTGGATTTTTCTGTGGCCTTAAAAAAACAACCTCACCTAACTTTTTTTCTCTACCTTTCCACTCAGAAATCAGTCCTCCACCCCAATAGCTGCAGAGCTGACAATTTCCACATGGAAGCCTTTGCTCAGTACAGTTCAGGGCTTATCCACAGGTGTTTTCCCAGTAACTGACGGTGATACTGATGGCAGAAAACGAGTCTCATTCATAGTATTTAATATAGTCAGTATTTAAAATGTCTTTTGGGGACTCAGTACTGCTGATCTAAAAATGCTTAATTTGAATAGGTTTATTAAAATCAATAGGGGTCTTCCCACACTTAACCTGAATTATTTGTCTAGTTCCTCATAAAATGGTGGGAAGCTGTGTATCCAAGTCACTGGATGAAGGCTGTCAAAGATGCCACTGTTATGAAATTGCTGTCTATTTAAAGGGATGCTACTGATGTTTGCTCTGAGAGCCTTTACTGACGCCAGACAAAATCCAGGGGAAAGCATAACTTGACAAAGGAACATTCTGCCTTTATGTTTTAGTATGTCTTTAAAAGGCCTTTTGGTGTAGATTTACTACAGTTTTTCCCTGTTTTACAGATACTGTGAACAAGGACCCTGAACCCAAAGATCCATATCCCATTCCAAGAAAGATTATGGCTGAACCAGACTACATAGACGATGACAATCCTGAGCTAATTAGACCTCAGAAATTAATTAATCCTGTGAAGTCATCCCGGAATCATCAAGATCTCCATAGAGAGCTGCTTATGAATCAGAAAAGGTAAGAGTCTAAAAATAACTTTTGCCACCCTCTCATGTGAAAGACACAGATGGAGTTTTAGTTTCTTCAAAATGACTTTGTACTTAAAACCCAGCAGACACTTTTTGTTGATTGAGATCTTGTAAATTAAACGGCTCCAATTCTTAACCGTAGCATTTATTTCTGTTTGAAATTCAGTTTCTCTGCAAAACCTTGCTGCAGAAGTCTTCTCATTTTGTCTTGGTGAATATTCACGGGGTCAGTTTTGGGAGGAAAGAGTTCAGTTCTCGCAGTAACGTTTCATGTAGGGTACCTGGGCACTGTAATTTGACTCGCACTCTTCGCTTTATCAAGTATTTGACAAAATTTTGCTGTTACCAGCAGGATGATAACATCTGTGGGTTTTCACCATTCCCAGCACAATGAGTTTATGAGGCCACTTTTAAATCAAAGAAATCATATAGTTTATTTCACGTGAAACTGTTCTCTGTTTGCTTGCTCTGTCTCCCAATGCAGTGTCATGGTCTGGTGCCTGCTCTGCTGCTGCACAAGTGTTTCTTTGTGTGTTGCACAAATGCTGCCTCCTTCCTTCTGGGGTGGGATGCACAGCTGTTGCTCTATATATTGCTTTTAAAGATGTAAATAATAGTAACTTTATTTCATCAGTTTCAGAGACACAAGCACCTGGCCCAGAAATAGCTGAAGTTCTGTTACTAAATCTCTGCAGCAACAGAGAACTCATTTAGAAAACACGTGGTGGAGGAAAAGCCACCAAGCCTGTTGATGCTCCTTCATTCAAACCAACAGAAAACTATGATATAAATTAGTGATTTGCTGCATTTAAGCCACCCAAAATAGACTTTCCAAAGTCTAGATCTGGGGATCTATGAAACAGAAGTGGTGAAACAGTATTTCAGAGATCATTTGAGAATAAAAATGGAGGTAGCAGCCATTCAGGCTTTTTGAGACTCAGGACCTTGACAAAAGAGAGTAGAAAGCTGTGGTTTTGGCTACTCCAGCACAACTAGATTTGTCTGTTTGGTAGGAAGAGTCACATTATGGAAGTTTCTCCTTTTTTTTTTTTTTTTCCCTAATCCTTTGCAGTATAGTATTTTGAGGGGAGAAGAGGTCTTTTTATGTGTAATAGTAAAATCCTCACAAATGCTGGGCTTAGAGACTTAATTCTAAATGAATTGCATACACAATATAGCATTTCTTTAGTGATGAAGAAGTAGAGATGTTTTAAGAATACCAACTGAATTGGAAGAAACTGGCCTAAATAGGTGTTTGTCCTATTTTTCGTTAATGGGATTAAACATCAAAGTCAGTTTCTAGCACCAAGAAGTTTATAGTCATTGAAAGAAAAATAGTTGAAGTTTCCCGACTTATGATCTTAATCTAAAGGATGTGGAGGCTGCAATAAATTAGGACTATTTTTTTTCTTTTAAGTTTATGAAAGCATAAAGCACTTTTAAATTGTATGGAGTTCTTTTCTTCAAGGAGAATATCCTATTACACAGTGAAGTTGTGCAGCCCTCAGTACCCGCTCTTCCCTTATTGTGATTTTGATTAGCTGCAGCTGTTAATTTTAGAGTCTTATTTATTGGTGCAGAAGTTAAATACTTTGAGGGTTTTCACCAGCAGAAGAAATGGTATTTTTTAGAAGAGAGTTAGTCTTCAGTGCTTTGTGCCACTGTACTAGCTCTGTTAGGAGGCTTTTCAGTAATGTAGGTATTAGGTTTGTGTTCTGCTTCATTACAGCAAACTGTCATATGTATGGAGGACTTCTAGTGCTCTTATAGAAGTCTGCTCAACATGCTGCTTATTTTATTGTGAAGGCTTAGTGTAGACACTAACAGCTTCACTTTTTTGACCAGTCAGCTCTGAACAGCCAGAAATGGATGTTGGAAGATATTAGCCAGCACTGGTCTGATCATTCTCCATGCCCACTGTGAGCAGTGTCTGTTGGGCCTTGAACTGGTGTAGCTATTTACTTGCAGAAATGGAGGTTGTTTTGGGCAAGCAAAGACTCAGGTAGTGCTACCTCAAGGCACTGGTCACTTATCTTAAACTATTTTTACTTACTAGGAATCAGCCTCAGCTCTGCAGAATATTGGTCCTGTCCTTTATAGAGATTTTTAACCCTATCATTTCTAACCAGTGTTGTAGCACACTTTGCTTCCTCTATATCAAAACGTTAGGATTTTTAATTTAACCAGAATGATCACTAGGAGGTGATACAAGACCCCACTTAATGCAGTACCTGCAGTTGGTTGCTTTTCCTTTTTACATAAGAGAATGGAAATAGGACTGACGTTACAGTTCTGTTACAGATCTGACTGGCAACCCCATCTGATTAGACTGAGGGGTTGCATTTACTTCTACCTTCTGCAGGTCCCCTTTGTTACAGCTGCAGCACATCTAAATCAGTCTTGTGCCTCTGCTTTGTTATGGTGCAACCTGACTGGAAAAAGCAGGAACAAGTAATGTTACTTAGCAGCTGGACTCTGGTTTGTGGCTGTCTTGATTACTGATTGCTCGTGTGGAATATTCCACTGATTCTGCTCTCACTGATCCAGTAATAGTAGTACTAGTAGTAAAAACAACAACAAAAAAATTACTCCAGCTTTTCCTGCCTGACTTCAGTTTTATGTGTTAAAATGTATTTAAAGTAGCATGAAACATAAAATATGAACACGATCTTGTAGCTTCTGTTGCATTTGAGGCCATGAGATCTATTATGAGAAATAGGGAACAGCATTTGGTGTTGCTAAATATTTGATTTTTCTGTCAGGGTATGTGCAGGGATAGAGTGTTGCATAATAGATGGAGTCATTCCTAGATGCCACCATAAAATGGTATTTTAATGTTTTATTGGACATGCTGTCAGATATGCATATTAATGAATAATTAGGCAACCGCAGTTGTATAGAAAATAGGGAAGGGTAAAAATACGCTTTCTGAAAGCTTATTCAGATTATTGAATTTCTTCAAGTTGAAATGAAAAATGGTTGATGTTAAACTTAATGCTGGATACTTTCACATAATCATCTTCACGGGGGAGATGACAATAACAAAGACAGATTTGGAATCTCTCTGTTCTGCCTTAAGTGACGCTAATACCTGAATAACAGGGAGAGATTTGAATCTAATCATAACAAATTCTGAAACCACCATAGCATAACAGAGATAAAAGAAATAGCTGAAGTCACAGAAATGAGTAGGAGTGAGTATCCATGTGCATGCCTGTATAAATAACGTCATGCATCTTTTCCTAAGAGGGAGCTTTCTCATTCCGGAGTAGTTGGCTTGGAAAGCAATTTGTGCTGAACAGACTTGAAACATTCAGTTGATGTAGTACCCAAAGGCTTGTGAGAGGGAGAATCCTCCAGGCTTTGTCTGGTCTCCAAGGTGACGGCAACTTTTTTATTCTGGATTTTTGTTGT